CAGCGGGAAGCAGCGGCGCTCACCGGGACAGGGAGACGAAGCCTCCCGGTGCCCCGCGGCAGCCTGGGGAGTTCCGTGCTGCAGCGCTGCGATAAGGGCCTCGGTCAGGCAACGGGTGGCTGCTTTGGCCTTCTTCTTTTTTACTTTTATTTTTTTTTTTTGTTTGTTTCCCCCACTAATCTTTTGTGTTGTCGCCCTGGGTGGTGTGAGGGAACAGCCAGTGGTGTGTCGGGATTAAGAGCAGTATTACACGGTGCAAAGTTCTGGAAAATTAGCCAGCTTGGAAATACCTTTTGGGAAATGTAACGTGAGAATGGAGTTTATTTCAAGGGGAGTGATTTTCAGCAGCACTTGTCCGGTGTGTGTTACCCTGCGGTGCTAGTAAATGAGCTCAGTTAGCTGACTGACTTGAAATATTTCTCATAAAGACTTGGGCTCAGTTAGCAAACTAATTTTTTCTAACATACTAAAAGCATGAGGCTGTGCAAACCACTTACTGGAAGTTGAAGCAGAAGGAGACTGTTACTTTTTTTACTACTTTTGTCCTTTCCGTGGTGTTTCTGTGGGTAGTGACAGCTGACGTACCAAGTGCTGACTTAATAAAAGGCAGACCACTCCCAAAATCTCTACTGCTGCCACATTTGCAAGGAGGTTTTGAGTAATTGTACCCACAGCAATAGCCTGATGAGTCAGAGATGATTTATTGCCTTCCATAGGTGAGTTAACTCATTGCAGTTGACTTCACATTTACATCTCTGATGCTACCTGTGCTGGAAGGGTTAAACCTGTACTTTTAACTCCACCCTGTCAGCCCTCCTGTAATCCTATCAAAACAACTTTAAAGCAAGTAACGTTCTGAATTAACTTCAGAATTTTTCCTTTCAAATTTGTCATTTTTTGTCAGAACTAAGGTTGTAAAAGAGATATGTAAAAGAACAAATGAGACTAAAACACGGATATGGAGTAATAAGGTTATTTATGCGTTAGCTTTCCATGAAAGTTCTTTTAAAAACAAAAACTTGGTGCATTTTTGTTGCTGTACCAGGTGTTTTGTTTGCTGTTGCTGGTTGGTACAAACTTGAGAGTATTCAGGGTGCGTGGATCAGTGCAGTCAGTCAAGCGTTGTGTGGGACATAGAACAGGCTTCTCTGTTGGCACAGGCTCCCTGTCACTTTCTTGGGCAATGGATTCTTCCAAGATACTTGAAGCTTGGCCCAAAAGTCGGTATTTCTTTCCTCAAGTATCGATTAAAGGTTCATAAGGTGTAAAGGAGCCTCCCATTATTTTGTAACCTTGCATTATTTTCTTAATCTGGACAGATGCCATCGCTGCTATCAATGTTATGTTAGGTGCACATCCTTTAAATTTACTGCTTTAAAAACCCACCCACGCCCTGCCTGCCAGCTGTGTGTGTGAGCACTGCCGTGCTCACCAGCTGTTGGGCGTTTGAATGTTTATCACAACCTGCATCATTCAGTGGGATTTGCCAGCTGTTTGGCTGCAGTGTTGATTTCTTCCGAAAAAATCTGCCTCTGGGCTTATTTATGCCAGAAAGCAGTTGTGATAATTTTCTTACTGCTTTATTCTTTAATTGTACAATGATATTTTGTCCAAAAAAATCACTCAGGCCTCATGATAAGTGCAGGGACAAGGCCTTTTGTGTTTAGCCACAGGCTGATGTAGCAGTAATACTTTCTTTTTTGTTTTTGTTTTGTTGTTTTTTTCTGATTCAGTCTATGTATCCATTAAGAGTTCTGCATATATACGTATATATATATAGCAGGGTGAGTTTAATGTTCCCAAAAGGCTGGACAGCTAAGGCTTCTGTGAGAGTGAATTTAACAGGAACAAAAGCGTTACGGTGTGGATGTGATGTTGCAGATGCCTGGGTCTGCTGCTGGCGTCACGTCAGATCACTGGCTCAGTGCTTGACACTGCGTAGTTTTGTAGTTCACCCAGTATCGTTTTCAGTGAGTTCTCCAAGTCACAGCAGCACTCTGAATTGAAATCGGCTATCCTTAGCAGTGAAATGTTTGAGTTTCTGTGTTAGCGCTCCATCCTGTCTGCACAGGCCAAAGCTCCTGTCTTGCTGGAGAGTTGTGTGGTGTTGGGTTTTGGTCAGGGGAGGTGGTTTGGTTTTTTCCTAAGGGGTGCTGTCTCAGTTCCCTTTAAAAGTCACAAAATAAATCTCAGTAAAGAAACCATATATGAGGAATAAGCCTCCAAGACAGAGAATTAGGGCAAAATAGCCATTAAATTTTAAACGCTCACTGCAGCTTATTCTCTACTGACAAGTGCACTTGGCTTCTGTCGGTAAGTCACAGAATTCTTGTACAAAACAGAGCAAGTGAGAAATTTGCCACTTTAAGTGAGAGAGGATTTCAGGCTCTTGTGTTGAGAAATGTTGAAATCACAAGCAAGACGTATGCTGATTCACATCATACCTACTCATGAAATGTAATCCCACTCGCTGTTGCAAGGGGAGGAAAAGGCTGCTTAGTTTCTCAACAAGGCTTTTTTCCCACATGGTCAGTAAGCTATTTCAACAAAGTTAAGATGATGCTGAATTTACTTGTGCCTGTCTGTCAGCACATGCCAAATATGACGCTGCCTTTCAGTTTTCCTTAGGACAGCTGATTTTTTTTGTTGTTTCTCAAGCATTTATTGTTTCTCAAATTCCTGGAAATTAGGTTTTAGTAGAGTTCACAGGTGAAAGCCAAATCCAGATGTGCAGTCCCTGAGTCTGAAAAACATCTTTCGTAATTTTTGCGTAATAAGGAGAGACTTTGAAGGTCTTTCTTTTACTTCAGGGGTTGAATTATTTCGCAGTAAGTGCTGGATGGTGATTGTATTTATTCTGCTGAGGATCAGTTTCATGACTGGGATGTTCCCTATTTCATGTCACAACGGGACTCTCAATTGTCTGATGTTTGAGGACTTGGAATTACTTCTGGGTCATTTTTGGACAATCCAGGCAGCTTTTAGTGAGGTGGATGCTAAGGTGGTGAAACTTAATTTATTTTGGGTAGCTGAAGTTCGGTGTTCTGTTGCTGAAACCTTTGAGCCCTATTTAATGTAAGTCAGTTCTGTGGTTTGGTGGCATTGGGATTAGAACTAGAGTATTTTTAATTGACATGCAGAATTTGCATAAATATTGAGTTTTGAACGTATTACTCCTAAAAAAACCATCAGTTTGGTTCTTTGGCGTTGTCCCTGAAGAGCTGGATGAAAGTATAAAATAGTATGGTGGTGATGTTTGCATCCAGCATGGAGCAATAACCAAAATGCGCTGCAGTCAGGGACTAATGAGGTAGCTCTGTTATCTGACTGTAGCATCAGCAAAACTGTCCCGACAGTGCAATGGGCCATTAAGTTTTTTATTTTCATATTTTCGTTTATTTTTAGGTATTACTTGTGGTCGTTCGCGCATCCCTGTCTTACGGAAACTTGGGACTTTTGAAACTCGTTCCCTAAGACGGATTCCTCTTAGAAACTTTTCGGAAACACCAGCATATTTTGCGTCAAAGGACGGTGCAAGCAAGGATGGTTCTGGAGACGGAAGCAAGGTAATTTCTGTGCATTAGTTTTTTCCAGTAGTTTTTATCAAGCTTCTTAAATGTTTTTGGTAGATTTTTCCTTACTTAAAATTTGAATCTTCTTGAAATTTTTGCTAACTCTTGACATTTCTGACCCTTCAAATTGGGTACAACTGACAGTGAAGAAAATAAATAAATTATATTGTGAATTTGTTAGCAGACAAACCTTATAAATTATAAATATATTTAGTGCTTTTCCCAGTTTTAGAAATCTTTTTGCCCAGTGTAAAGGGACACTTGAAAACTTTGTAGAATGCTATAAATCCACAGCATCAGGAAAGAGTAGTAACCAGAACTGTTCTCCTTCAAAAGCCTGCTACTGCCAAGTCTGCTTTTTAAAGTAAGTACATTTTAAAATATATTTGTTTTCAGCACCAGTTTGGTAGTTAAGCAAGACAGGCTTGTGAGGAAACTAGCTTTATTCCTCTTAGTAAGTCATAATCCATTTTCATCCTAGTCTTTCTCTGTAATTATAGTTAATAAACAGCTTCTTCAGATAAATGATTACCTGAGAATAAAACTGCTCTTTAGTCAGCAAAGAAGATTTTGAGAGTTCACAGGCAATAATTTTGCCTTGGTATGTCATGTTGTGACACCTGAGAGACTGTCCAGATGACACAGGTGTGTTCCAAAGGTTCAGATTAAACTTTCTTGAAAACTAAAGAAGGAAGATAAAACATTTTTAATAGGAATTTTTTCTTGAAAAAGGTTTTGAGGAGAAATGAGTAGGCAAGCAGAGTTCTAAAAATTGGGGAATTGCCTTAGAAAAGGGAAGGGCGATCTTTGTTGTTTCCTAAAATATAATAGCTTTTGTTATTAATCTAAGTACTAAGGCATTGGATGGATGTATATTTAAAAGATGTTAACTGTGAACACCACTAAGCAAGGTAACACAGAGAAAGACAAGTGGGTCTCTGTCAAGAAACTCTGCCTTAGAAGTAAAAAATAAAATATTTCCAAGCAGTTCCTGAGATGCTTGGTTTATAGGCCATATCTACCCCACAGCCATCTGCCAGCACAGCTGCATCTGTCAAGGACGGGAGAAGAGTTGTGGCTTCAGAAAACCTTAGAGTCAACACAGTTGCGATAATGAAATTACTCTTGCTATAGTGTGATTTGTTTTCTTCGCTGGGGGTTAAAATAAATTACCCTGAAATATTCTATTAAAACATTCTTGACACAGTTTAGCTGCTTGTTGTTCTAGCACCAGTTAAGCAGTTCTAAAATAGATACGGAATCTGCATCCAAAACTGGCAGGCTCGGGAAAAGCAGATGTGTGTACACTTCAGAATGTTTGCTGTGTTGTTCTAAGTTTTCAAAGCCTTTAAAAAATCCCGTCAACAGTTATTTTGTCATTCAGCTATTGCAATATTCACATTACTGGATTCCATAAACACGCTGTGAGATGCCTGCTGTAACAGCTCCATTGCTTGAGGCTAATTGTCTGGAAATCTTTTTTAGAAGTCTGTTGGTGAGGGAGGTGGTAAAAAATCAAGCTCTGGAAGCTCTGGGAAAGGAGGGAACCAGCTGCGCTGCCCCAAGTGTGGTGACTTGTGCACACACGTGGAGACCTTTGTGTGTAAGTTTTAATTAGTACTTTCTTTTTTTAAATAGACGCAGATGTGACTGTATTTGTCATCTAATGTACTCCTGAGAGCTAAGTTTTAGCCTACCTAATTATACAATGTCAAAAATGTTACGTTTAGTTTGGCCACGTTGGTGTTAGCGTGTGTTGTTGCTGTGGATACATTTGTGTAATTTCCCAGCAGCGGTGTTTATTGAAGTCCAGTCCAAATTAAAGCCAGTTATGCTTCAGGTTCTATCAGACTTGAAGACGTTTCTCTGCAGTGCTAATGAGACCAACCTAGAAAATCGTTGTCAGAAAGCAAATACCCATTGTGTTGGGGCTCAAGGAGGAAGTATCAAGTCATAATCAGACTTGTGCACTAAGAAGCTTAGGACAAGGTCAGCATCAATGTGTTCAACAGTTGTTAACATCGCAGTTGGTGAAGATAATGAGCAGATGTGCTGTTATTTGCTGCTACTCTTATAAAATACTGCTTAATAAAAATGATCAAACGTCATGAATCACAAGACGGTTCTGTAATAGTATATTTATTTAGTGTTACAGTCAGATTTGTCAGGAGCTTGAAAGTCAAAATATCAGTAAGTCTGCTTGTGAATAATTGAATGTATCTCCTTTTCTCTTTCTTGCATGTTCTACTCCAAGGCTTTAGGATTCTACAGCCTTTACATGAAGTCTGTTACTAATTCAAACTAAGCACGATGTCACCAGATAACAGAGTAGAGCAGCTGCCTTTGTTCATCTTGAGAACAGCAGTCATTAGTTTTCTGTTAATTGATAACTTAAAAATTAAAGCAAAGATTGTAATTGCTCTAATTTCTCAGAAATCCCAGTGAGCCGTGGTGACTGGATTTGCCTCTTTCTGGTTTACTCTGTTAATTTGAGCACGCTGCTTCCCAGCCAAGCTGTAGAATATGAAGTGGCTGGAAAACATAGAGCTAAGTTTTAATTATCTTAAAAACTATTAAAAAAAAAAAAAAAGAAAATAAAAACTAATAAGAAAAGAGCTCTGTCCCATTCTGCCCAAAATGAATGTGTTGTAAGTTGTATTAAACACACTGTAACTTGATTTTTCAGATAGGCCTTTGATGTTGCTCAGTCAGGACAAACGATGAATCTGCTCAGTTCTGGCTTGCGTTACTGAACTGCAGAGCCTTTAGTAAATATCTAAAGCCAGAGGAAAATATGCAATTAGCATTTGTTTCGGTTTTTAAATGCTAGCTTTTTCAGTCATTTTGAGAGAAACAGGGAAACAAAATACTGAACAAAAGCCACATTTATTGGTAAATTGGTTGCCATTCATTGGCTGTGTGGCAGTTTAGCGGGGCTTCACTTTGTGTTCGCAAATCTGGCACAGGGATTTGTTTGGCAATATTTTCCAGTAATTAACAATTAAGGAAAAACGTGACGCAAACCAAAAGGAATTTTGCTTTGACACGCTTACTCAGCAGTTCCTGGACTGTTTTGGGTCAGGAGAGTTTTGTGATCAGTGAAATAAGATGTGAGCCTCAGATGTAGGGTGAAATCCAATACCTATAAAATTGATTGACAGAAGAAGCCTTATCCAGGTGCTGCGTTTGCTGTCTCCACCTGATACCAGCAGGTTGGCTCCCATCTTTCTCCTGATGCCTTTTTACTTTGTAGCACTTAAAAAGTAGCCCATTATCTCAACCTACAAGTGTTTTTAGGATTATTCCTCTGATTGTGGCTTCCTGTATGCATTGTAAAAACCCAGCCTTTCTCTTTGGCAAGGTGAGCTGGTAAGGGCTTTAGAAACCTCTTTGCAAATGCAGCCTCTGTGGTAACGTTGCCTGAATCAAAGCTAGCACTTGACTTGCATTTTACCACACTGTAAATATTTGCAGACAACTTAATGACAGTGAGGTAATTGGACATGAAGGCTCTTTGCTATGCTTTTATGTGTTTGCTAAAAAAACATGAAAACATGCCAGTATTTAAGAATAGCAAAGTTGCTTGCAATTTGGAATGCTTTAGGGAGAGAGCAGTGCTTTAACTTGGTTTCCTTGCACTTCAGAGCAAACTTCTCAATTTTTTTCTCTTCTGCTAAAGCTTGTATTTATATTTTCCCCAGACTGCTGTGCAGGTGATAGGAACTGGCGAGTTTCACAGCTGTGTTTTGATAACCGAGTCTCCTCCCCAAGGCACACCATACATCAAAGTTTCTCTGTAACCGCAGACCCTATTGGTCTTGCTGAAAATTAGGAAGATCTCCAACAACTGCTTGGAGTAATTAATGAAAGTGTACTCTGCACAATATTTTTTCCCATTGGGTGATACTTTAAAGATGCGCAGTAGTATTTTTATAGCATGCTTTTATTTTCTTCCTTTTTTTAACTGTTCCAGTGGATCTATAAAGGTGACAAGTATTCTCATGGCTACTCCATCCTAATAAAGCTGACTGTTAGCATTGCGTAAGGAAGGACAAGGAATGACTCATGGCACTGTAGTTGTCAATAATATCAGAGATGTTTTGAGTGAGCACTGGGAGAAAAATTGGGGTTTTTTTTCCTTACAATATTGTTGCTAAGTAATAGTTACGCAAGAGGGGTGAGTGCACGCAAGTGGTTCTGCTCTGCGTTCCTATCGGGCAGATAACAGTGATTTGAGGTGTTGCCAGGAGAACTTTCCAACTGTTACACAAATTATCTTTGGAGTAGAGTTAATAAAACTCTGGTGGTCACAATAGTATATGCTATGTTATTAAAATAATCTGCTGTTCTTACTTATACAGTGATAAGGTGTGTTTAATATTAAAAAAACAACCCCACTTCTCTTTTGCTGATGCCAGCTCTGTGGGACGCAACAAGTTATAAATAAGCAGCTTGTTTACGGCTAGAGGTGGTTTTTAAAATCAGCTGCTACTACAGTGTTCAAGCCATTTTTTAAGACCTTTTTATGATTTCAGAAGTTTTGACATTGAGGATTTTCATGTGGCTTTGCTACGCTTTGCTTTTAATTTAATACATTTACTGATGTATCTACTTTAAATCAGTCCTGTTGCAGATGATTTACATTTAATAGCATAGCGGTATGGTCTGAAAAGATCTGTTTTGAATTACGAATTTATTCTTCTTTACTTTCTGTTTTTCATTACTTCAACTTTACTTTTCCAAAGGAAAACAGTAGTGCAAGTTCTAGTTTGCAGGCTATTGAAACCAATTTTTGTAGATGGCATGACTTCTTGAGACATGGTTCACAAAGTCAGGGGTAGGAGGGTTTAGCCTTTGGAATTTGAAAGAAATTTGTTCTGCTCTCGACAGTGAAAATAAATAAGCAATAGATCAATAATTGCTTTTAAAGCTTCTAAGGTGAAGGAAGGGGAAATGTTGTGTAAACACAGAGGTGGCTGTGCTGTCATACGGGTGCTTGTCCTGTGTTTGATGAACCCAGGCAGTTGACTGAATGCTCTCTAAGCACTTCCACTTACTGTCTTGTTTTACTTTTTCTGCAGCTTCCACCCGTTTTGTGAAGTGTGAAAAGTGTCACCATTTTTTTGTTGTACTGTCAGAGGCAGACACAAAAAAGAGCATCATTAAAGAGCCCGAGTCAGCAGCAGAAGCTGTGAAATTGGCATTCCAGCAGAAGCCACCTCCTCCACCGAAAAAGGTATGGGTCTTCATTTCACCCCAGTGTTTCCTTGCCTTACAGCATGGTGAAATGCTTTACTTCTTAATCTGCATCAGGTGTGTAATGGTCTACTGTGACAGCAACAAACAAGAAAGACTATTAGCTCAAGATTAAACCTCTGAGAGCTCTGTGACCCAGCAGCAGAGCACTGGTAAAGGGAACAAGGAGGTCCAATAAAAGTAGTTGGGCTTGTTTTCCTCTGGCTTGGGCTTGTGACTCAAGTCCAGTACCTTCATTTGCTCCTTGTGACTATGACAGTCAACCCTCACCAGCCATAGTATCTTTTATTTCCTGCTGTGGCCTCATATTCTGCATCTTAATGTTAGCAGCTGCTTTCTGTAGTTGCTGGATCTTTTATTTGGCCTGTTTCTGGGTGAGGACCCGTCCTAAGTCATTTGGTTTCCTCTCCCCTGAACAGTGAGGGAGCTTATTGTGTTTCGTGGTTCCTAATGGACAGTAATGATTTCTGCACGTGGCTCCTAGATTACCATCTTGTAAGATGTTAAATAGTCTTGAACCTTCTGTTCCTCTTACAAATTTGGGTGGAAATGACGATGTGTTTAAATAGTAGTAGGGGAGAAGCAAGCGTCGT